CAGCTCTCCCCCCACTCGTCCCCAAGCCTGTCATGCAGAACCCAGCACTTGGCCTTATTGAAACTCATGCAAGACAAGACTCGAGCACACGGCTTCAAGCCCGTCTTACATACCCATCCCTGCTGATACACACCTGAGAAGGTGCTGGGTCACCAGCCAATGCAGTGATCAACAGAGTGGACACCTTCTCCTGTCACATACACCATGCCACTACACGGCACGCAACTGCCTCGGTTGGGCCATCAGTGGGGCAGAGGGGGCTCGTAAGGGGTGGGTGGCTGTTTTGAAGGTCAGACATTGCTTGAAGAACTGAAAGTTATCACGGGGGTACCTGAAGAGAAGTTAAAACAGCAAACCCTGAGGTAAATGGTTTTGAGGAAGCCCTCAGTGATTCTTCCCACACATGAGGGCTGAGCTTTTCTTCATTTCTCCAAGCCCACTCCACCACCACAGAGAAGCTCCTTGCCCCATGCACGTATGGAGCCAAGGTGTGTTTGCCACGAGATGAGCTCACAGGTGTTTTTGAGAGGACTTTCCAGATCCCCACCCAGAGTTTTCATCTGCAGATGTACACGTGCAGACCCATTGAGCTGCCCCGGTTTCCACACACAAAAACTCACCCCCGCTTCCTCAACCCCTTTGAAATCAAAGATGCAAATGGAGAAGGATGCTCTGAATATTTGGAGAAGACAGTCATAGAATCCCAGACTGGTTTGGGTTGGAAGGGACCTTAAAGCTCATCCAGTCCCAAGCCCCCTGCCAGCAGCAGGGACACCTTCCACTAGACCAGGTTGCTCAAAGCCTCATCCAACCTGGCCAAGAACACTTCCAGGGAGGAGCAGCCACAGCTTCTCTGGGCAACCTGGGACACTGTCTCACCACCCTCACAGTGAAGAACTTCTTCCTAATATCTCATCTAAACCTCCCCTCTTTCAGCTTAAACCCATTTCCCCTTGTTTTGTCATTAACTGCCCTTATGAAAAGTCCTTCCCCAGCTTTCTTGTAGGCCCCCTTGTAGTCCCACCCATCACCCACCAACACGACCCTGACTATAGAGAAGGGCCTGACTGTTGACAGTGCTGACTGCTGGTGAGGGCTGCAGGCTTCAAGCAGGCAGGGAGGACACAACATTTCTGAAAAAAACACGCTGCCACTTTCTTCTTTCTTTGACAAGGTCAGATTTTTTTTTTTTGGTGATGGTCATGGTCAGCGGCACTGGCAAAAGGTCAATTTTAGGAGCCCGTTTAAGGACACAGGCACCGTTGTTGGGTGACATCTGACAGGAATTCCTGCCTGCATCCATAGTATTGCACAGTCACATGCCATGGAGTTTTGAATGATTTCTGATGGATGATTTCCTCTAGGACTCGCCAAAATTGGGCAAACTAGCTTCAAGCTCCAGATTATTTTGTAGGAGAAAGCGGTGTAACTATCATCAAAATCAGGCAAAGTTTTGGGGCTTTCTCTGCAGTTCTGCTCCTCTACGTTAAGCTGACCAGTAGAAAGAAGACATAAACCAATTCATTAATTAATCATGTAATTACTGTTTTATCAAGTGATTTTAAAATCTATATATCTAACGTAGTAACTTAAACTGGAAACAAATGTGATGACACTTGGTCTCAGACTGCAACAGCAATAAAGTTGTAAGGCACAGTCATTTGATCAGCATCTGTCTGCAGTCACTAGGAGAGATGTTTTGAGTCTCACCTGAACGTAAATCAAATGCCTTATTGAAAAAGACCAAGAGATTATTATTCCCTTAATCCTCTGCCTTGTTTTTGCTGCGGTATTACTTTAAAATTAGTCAGTCATATGAAATCGGAAAATTTATTTAATCTAAAAAAACTAGAGGTGGGATGGGTGACTCTAAAGGGGAGGATGCTCTGACACCTGCTCACAGAGGTCAGCTCTGCTAACAGCATTCTGATATGCAATGTCTATCCATCGGAAGCGATAGGAATCCTTCCAGGGAGCTACAGAGCAAACAAACTCATTAATATTGGGACGAGCCACTTGGTCAGCGTTCACTCCCATAGTGATGCAGCCAACATGAACCCTGGATGTCTGTGAATGAGGTGAGCTTTGCTGGGGGCCTCTGAAACCACCCACCCTGGTCTCTTCCTCAGCCAACACACCCCTCCTCACACCCCGCTGCGGTCAACGCTTCCTCTCGAGCGAGGAGAGAGGAAATACGTTGAGGCTTGTTCTGTTTTAGCACATGAAGGCTGCAAAAATAACCATGTTTTTCTGTAATAAGAGGTTGATTAGCTCTTCTGTTGCTCAGCGGGTGCTCCTTAAAGACAGCATTTCTGGACCAGCTGTAGCCTTAATTGAGGCAAATCATGTCCTTTGTTTGAACTGCTCTACTTGCACGGTTCTGTGTTTAGCTTGCAGAAGAAGCTGAAAGATAGCAGTGATCCTTCAGGACTCTGCTGTGTGCATGGTTCCAACACACCTGGGTATCTTCTAGGACTGAGGACTTTTGTTTTGGGACGTTGTTGAGGCAGTGGGTCTGTCCGGCAATGACTGCAGCACAGCCCTGGCAGTCAGGGGCCAAGCGGTGTTCATCAGTCCAAACCTCTCTGAGGTTTTTGGCAATGAGCAGACATCTGGCTGCTGGTGGTTGATCTCTCTGGGAGGGCTCTCATCCATGATGGGCCTGAGGAAAAGAGAGCAACACCGTGGTGAAACTGCCTCTGGGTCTGAGTATCTGCATCCTTGCCACTGGCTCTGCCACATCCTGCTCAAAACTGAACCAAAAGCTGCCCAGCCTAGGAGCAGCACGGGGCTCACCAGCTTCCCACACCAGGTCCGTGCTCTCTGCCAGTACTGTTCCATAATCCCTGAATTATCCAGATTGGAAAAGCCCTTTAAGCTCATCAAGTCCAACCATGAAACCAACACTGACAAGTCCCCGACTAACCCATGTCCCTCAGCACTGTGTCTACACGACTCTTCAATCCCTCCAGGGATGGGGACTCCACCACTGCCCTGGGCAACCCCTTCCAATGCCTCAGAACCCTTTCGGCAAAGAAATTCTTCCTCACATCCCATCTCAACTGCCCTGGACACAACTGGAGCCCATTTCCTCTTGTCCTGTCCCTTGGGCCTTGGTTGAACAGACCCACCCCCACCTCTCTCCACCCTCCTTTCAGGGACTTGGACAGAGCCACAAGGTCTCCCCTCAGCCTCCTTTTCTCCAGGCTCAACAACCCCAGTTCCCTCAGCCACAAGGGAACTCAGCACACTTGTGCTCCAGACCCTTCCCCAGCTCTGTTGCCCTTCTCTGGACACGCTCCAGCACCTCCACATCCTACATCAATAATGACTACATTAACTTCAAAATCAAAGTGCCATGTCACAACTCCTCAGTTTTACTTCTTCAAAGAAGCAACTTGATGCTAATCTTACAGTAAACAGCTTCAGAAATAACCAAATTTTGGTGCATGTGACACTTAGCTAATGCCTGCTTTATTTTCCAAAGCTTTTTCTAACATGAATTAATGTAAGTTTCAAGGGAAAAAAAAAAAGGGATGTCAGGAACTTATCCTGGGAATTAGCCAAGGAGAGTCTTGAACATGTGCCACTAGACGAGCTCTGCAACAGGCATGGGCATCAGCCCCACGTGGGGAACATGGGAATGGAGCAGGAAGAGCACAGGAAAATTCTGGGCTGTTGTTCAAGAAGATACCAAATTCCCAGTGCTCGAGGTATAAGGAACATGAGAAAATGTTTCATTTAGTGTTAGAAGTCAAAGGTAAATGTCAGCTCAAATAAAAGGAGTTCTTTTCACGTAACAGGCAGAAGACTCCAGAGACAACACACATTCTGCTGTTTCCTGCTGTGAAGTCCCTTCTGTCTGCACTGCACGTACCTGATGTTTGTTGATCCAACAGTCGCTGGTCCTGAAATCAGCCTTTGCCGGCCGATGCTCCCAGCAGGATGGCATTGCCTGCGGGATTCGGAGGCGGCTGGCACGCTGTGCTGGCTCAGGACAGCCAGGTCCTTGTCCAAAGCCTGGGCTGAAGTTTCCTGATGAGCCCTTGACTGGCATTGCTGTGCCCTCTGCCCGTTCTCCTCTTGGATGGGTATTTTTAGGCATCTTACCCTGTGGTTCCTGGTTTTCCAGGGCCTTGCTGCAACCCCCGTTAGAGATGCAGGCGAAGGGCTTTTTGGAGGGGATGGAATTAGACAATGGTTTGGGTTGGAGAACACTGCACCTTCCTGAGCCTGTGACGAACCTGAAACAGGGAGAGAAGCACAGTGATTTACCAGTTCATCTTAGTCCTCAATGAGTGAAAGGTTTCAGAGAACGCTGTGTGATGGAGCTGGGTGGGTGTCCTGGTGTGAGCTGGGCCAGAGCTGGTTCTGTTCAGCAGCCAGAACAGCGCTGGGGTTTGGGTTCAGCTGGGATTTGTTAGGAGAGAAACGCTGAGAACATCCCCATGTTGCATTTGTGTCCCTGGCACTGAAGGACTTTGTGTTTGTCCGTCTGCAAGCGCAAGATCTCAGGGGTGAGGAATATTGAACTGGATCAGCTCCATGGGCATTGGGCTCTGCCAAGGGGCTGTTCCATCTCCTGTCCCCCATGGGCAGGAGATTCATGAGGGGCTCTTCCTCTCTTGCTCTCTCTGGCTTTCGCTCGGGCTCTGGCTCTCCCGGGATTGCGGTTTTGGTTCGGGATTTTATTATTACTATTATTATAACTACTATTGTAATACCATTATTTTTTAAAGTTTTATTTTATTTTATTTCAATGATTAAATTAAATTGTTCTTCTCTCACCCTACAAGTCTCCTTACCCTTGCTCCTCAAATTCTCTCCCTCATTCCCTGTGGCAGAGAGGGGAGTGAGCGAGTGGCTGTGTTTGGCTGCTGGCCAAGTGAAACCACCACAGTGGGCAAACGTGTCCTGGGGCATGCTGGCCTTGCTGAATTACTTCCTCTGATAGTCGGGGTCACAAGTACTGCTGGTGATGTGCCGAGCACTGGAGCTGCTCATGATCTGTGCACAGCTCAAGAGGGACAGAGCCGCTCACCCACCCCCCTGTTCTCATGCAGGATCACACCTGCATCATCCTAGGCCAGTGTTTGCACTGATGTGTTTCAAATACCTGAGGACCTCATCCAGCAATCTGAAATTCAAGGCATGGGAATAATCACAAATGAGTGGATCTACTTTTATTTTTTTTTTTTAATCAGAGGCAGAGGTGTAAGAATAAGATCTTGAGATGATTGTGTAAAGTGCCTGGCTGCTAGGGAAAATATTGCACTACCTGCAGGGCTGCTAGCTGGCTCTTCATACTTTAGTCTGTGTGATCCTCAGGTGCAACATACAGAGAAGAAAAATCTTGTTCCTGACTTATGAATATAACGTGCAGGCATCTATGCTTCAAACCATTCTATATATAGCAGGGATCTGATTGCTCCTGTTTATTAAAAGAACCGACTGTGTCCAAGTGCCTGATGTGCAAGGTCTAGGGCAGGAACACAATCTAAAGAATGTGCCACCAAAACCCAGGCCCAGAAAGTTCAGCTTTATAGATCCTAATTGATGTGGATGTATTTTACTGCTTAGGTAACCACATAAAGCTGATCTACAATTTTCACTGAACGGTTTCCATCATACTATATGCTTTAAAAATGCCTATATTTCAGAAGGTTTTTTGGTTTTAAGTAAAGACACTCTGAAAGACTGGTATGCTTAACTCCAGAGCCCAAAATAACACTCAATAGCTTCCAAAGAGTGCAGATTATGTGTATCTGATGCTGCAAACGCTTTTACATAAGCACTGTTTTGCCTGGATGAGTTGTCCTTTCCTGGTCAGAAGGACTGTTTCCAGCAACAATTTCTTCTGTGGGAAAATCACATTGGGTAGGACACACTTCTGAAGTTAAGTGTTGAGGCATTTAAATACCTCTCCAAATCTTGACACGGTCTCAAGTCGCAGAGGTCAAGTGTATTTTTAACTGCCTTGTTGGAGAAAGTCTATCAGTTGCTAAAGTTTTATCAGGTATTTGCTCCGCAAAACACATACTGGTGTGTGGGCAAAGCTGGCCATGTTTGTGATTATTTGAATCTTGGTAATTATGGCCAACTGCTTGTGATTTGGGGTCTAGGTCATCCACCCCTCCACTCTCAGGTAATACTAGATTTCAAACCGCTCCATCAATCTTGTAACCAAATCTGCCAGGATTTGGTTACAAGATGGGCAGATCTACACTCAACCATTTATAGTCATATATGGCATGACAGTGGTGCACCGTGAGGTGTCTGGGGCACTGTCTACTCAATCAAAAAAGATGATGAGATCCTAATAAATCATACTCAATCTAAAGAAATCCTATCAAATCTAAAAAACAACAGATTAAATCCAAAGAGACCATGACATCATAATTCAAGATATCTGTGGTCACTGGACAATAGTCCATCCCTTTAGATTTTTCCAAACAGCTTCTGTTCTTGTTAAGGAGATATTGTTGATGTTACTGTTAATACACTTTCAAGCTTTCACTAGTTTACGTCTGTTTATACTTCTGTTTTTTTTTCCAAAATATACTATATTCTTCCAAATTTTAATAGATCAATTTTTGCCCTTGAAAGAAATGTAAAATGAAAATTCACATGCTGATATCTATTGAGGCAAAACCCCATTATTATTAACAACAGAAGGAGATTGAAGTTGTTAGCTCCTCTATTTGATATGTATTTGGAATAACCATCATTAATGTTTGTAATATTCTTGAATACCATATTCAACAAGTTGTGAAGAGTGGGAATTCTGCTTTCATTCATGTACAGGCAATTCCAGAGAGGTCTTTGGCTTTGTTCCCGAGTAGAAGGGCACATTTCATTTTTAAACTCTTTACTGAACACATCCCTTTGGTTGCACATCTTCCCCAAATTCCCAGTTGCCCAGTTAAACCTCAATTATTAGCTCAGCCGTTATTTCCATCAGTGCCAACTGGGGTAAAACACAGCTCAGTTGGAACAAGGGTATTTTCAACTCACCTGGCGCTGCCATAAATTAATGACACAAGATAAAAGTCAGAAGCACATGATGCTAAGCTGGTGGAAGATCAGCTTTGTTCCTCTTAATTCTACAGATCCATGTTGAAATATATCAACTGACGGTCAACACAGCTGGCCACCATGTCCTGAGTAAAAACTGGAATGGATGACTTAGGGTCTGGCTCTGCAATGAGATTTCCAAATTGCTGCTCTAAAGCACAGAAGCCACTTGTAAAACCCTGCAGTTACTAATACACCTACCTACCAACAGTGAGTAGCATGTGTCACTACCTGATGCTAACCCTTCCCCAGAGGTTTAGGTCCAGTACCTGAGGAACACTGGGAGAGACAGGAATGGTAAGAAGAATCAAGAGAAATCCTTTCAGTGAAGTCCTCATTGCAGATCTCCCTCAACTCATCTTCACAGCTGTCAGTCAGGCTGCAGTCTTCACCCTCTCCCTCATCACTAAGAGTCACCTTCAGTGCTTGGGTGGCTTCTTCTTGTTGATCTGTTTGCAAGGACCTGGACAACATCAAGTATCACACCTTTAGTTAGCCTTAGCTGCCGGCCACGTGCAGCTTGGCATGGCCACACAGGCAAACACCCAGACAGTGGATTTAGTCACCCTCTGTGACTCTTCACTTTCCTGGAGATATGGAAAATCATTCTAAATGCATCAACCATCTCAGATGCCTGTGGCTGATTATCTGAAAGTGTCCTACAGTTGAGTGAAATGGGGCAGATTTAAAAATACTACACGGTGAAGCAAGCTGAGAGAAATAAAACCATTTTTACTTCCAAAACAACCATTATCTGTTTACGAGATGGGGGAATCTCAGCGTGGCCTTTCTTTCAGCCTTTCATTTGGTTAGGCCAATGCAATGCTTGCAGAAAACCTCATCTACTTTCACTTCTTTCACTGTTTGAAGGGAGACACTGTCAGGGCCGAGAAGGTCTTACCAGTTATGAAAAGTCATTTCCTTGCTCTTGCTAAGCAAGTGAGCCCACCCTGCCTATGCTGGTCTTCAGTCTGCTCTAGAGAGAGAGGTCAGAGCTTCCCCCAGGTCTCTTCTCTCTTGTCCACCCTGCAGATGCTCCAGTGGGGAGGACAGAGGGAAGGGTTGTCACTGCAGGGACAAGACCATCCCCTGAAACTGCCACCAGGTGGCCAAAGAGTTTATTTTATTATTACAGCAGAAAATGAATGTCCCTTTTACGGCACCACAAGATTTCTCACCGCTTGTGCTGCTCTCTCTGTCCCCTCCACTCAGAGAACGCATCATCCTGGTGCAGCTCTCCTCCTCCTCCTCCTCCCCCTCCTCCAGAGCCGTAAAGGTTTTCTGTCCTCAGACCACAGAGTTTCAAAGCGCTCACTGCAGGTGGCTGCAAGAATGACACAAGTTCTCTCGATAACCTCAGGAGCTCTCCCCAGCTCCATTTCTAGATTGTGGATTTTAAAAGGCATCAAAGTCTGCTGTTACTCCTGAGTTTTCAGATCAACCCTCACCATTTTTTTCTCTCTTTAGTTTTAAGAAGCCCCCCACCCCAGCCACGTGCACTGTTATGTTCTGTGCAGCTTGAGCAACCCAGGGTGGCAGTAACAAAAATGGTGATTTCTGTCTCGCTGGTGTATAAGCCTGGAGCAGCAACACCAATAGACTTACTGAGACCAGTAATGCAGAAACTGCATCATTCAGCACACGAACGCGCTCTCCTTCCACATCCAACTTTATAATTCACTCAAACCATAGAATCATAGAATCACAGCCTGGTTTGGGTTGGAAGGGACCTTAAAGCTCACCCAGTCCCAACCCCCCTGCCA